CACCCCAAAAACAGCGGGAATTCACCCCCAAAACACCGGGAATTCACCCCCAAAACACCGGGAATTCACCCAAAAACAGCGGCAATTCACACCAAAAACAGAGGGAATTCACCCCAAAACAGCGGGAATTCACCCTAAAATAGAGGGAATTCAACCCAAAAACAGCGGGAATTCACCCCAAAAACAGAGGGAATTCGCCCCAAAACCACCGGGAATTCACCCCCAAAACAGAGGGAATTCACCCCAAAACAGCGGGAATTCACACCAAAACAGCAGGAATTCGCCCCCAAAACAGAGGGAATTCACCCCCAAAACAGAGGGAATTCACCCCAAAACAGCAGCAATTCCCATCAAAAACAGAGGGAATTCACCCCAAAACAGCGGGAATTCACCCCCAAACAGCGGGAATTCACCCCAAAATGATCCTGGGGGGTCCCAAATCAAACCAAACGAGAGACAAACGCCGAGTCAGTGTTGGGAATCTGTATCCTGGGAATCTCTCCCTCATTCCAGGGATTTTTTTTATTATTGATTTCTCCCATTTCCACACTTCAGCAAGGGCGGAGCTTCCCAAATTCCCAAATTTCCTCGCCTGCTCAAGAGCCGCTGCAGCTTTTAAAATGACGTGGATTCAACCCCAAGCGGTAAATAAAGATAAAAATGGGATGTTCCTGCTTTTCCTCAACTCAAACCAGCCGGGAAATGTCTCTGGGTTAAACAAACCTTCCCCTCTCGCCCCAAATCTGCGTTTCCTGAAAGGATTCCCCATGTTTTTTTGGGGGGGAAAACCCCAGAAACCCCATTTTTCGGCACTTGAGGCGACAATCCAGCAATTATTTTGTAAATATTTCCTAAAGCTACTTTGTTTTGGCCAAACCAAGAGTGGGTGCGGCAAACACCAGACCGGAGTCGGCTCCTTGGAAGAGTCCGGGGGGTTTCCAGGGGAAAAAAAAAGGAACCAGAAATGAGGGTGAAAAGGGTTTTTTTTTTTCTGAGAAATGGCAGGCGAGAGAACCTGAGGCAACACGAGATTCAGCACCAAAATCGGCGTTTCTGGGGGGCAAAGGGGGGTTTTGGGAACAAACCTGTCCACGGAGGGGACCTTTGAGGCGGTGGCCACCACCTTTGGGAGGGTGGCTACCACCTCTGGGAGGGTGGCCACCACCTTTAGGAGGGTGGCAACCGCCTTTGGGAGGGTGGCTACCACCTCTGGGAGGGTGGCTACCACCTTTAGGAGGGTGGCTACCATCTTTGGGAGGGTGGCCATCACCTTCGGGAGGGTGGCCACCACCTTTAGGAGGGTGGCCACCACCTTTAGGAGGGTGGCCATCACCTTCAGGATGGTGGCCATCACCTTTGGGAGGGTGGCTACCACCTCTGGGAGGGTGGCCACCACCTTTAGGAGGGTGGCCACCGCCTTTGGGAGGGTGGCTACCACCTTTGGGAGGGTGGCCACCACCTTCAGGAGGGTGGCCACCACCTTTGGGAGGGTGGCCACCACCTTTAAGAGAGTGGCCATCACCTTTGGGAGGGTGGCCACCACCTTTGGGAGGGTGACCATCACCTTTAGGAGGGTGGCCACCACCTTTAGGGGGGTGGCCACCACCTTCAGGAGGGTGGCTACCACCTTTGGGAGGGTGGCCATCACCTTTAGGAGGGTGGCTACCACCTTTGGGAGGGTGGCCATCACCTTTAGGAGGGTGGCTACCACCTTTGGGAGGGTGGCCATCACCTCTGGGAGGGTGGCCATCACCTCTGGGATGGTGGCCATCACCTTCAGGATGGTGGCCACGGTTTCCAGGGCTCTCTGGGGATCTCCATGCCCGTCCCCCGCTTTCAGCTGCCCCTGAGGGTGACATTACTCGCCCACCCCCCCCAACCATCTCCCAACCCGTGTCCCACCGGGCCAGGCTCCCCCCTATCCCCCCCCTCAGGGGCACAGCTTGAGGTAGGTGACGGTGGAGCAGACGGAGAAGAGCGGGAAGACCCTCTCTCGGAAGGCCACGTGGAAGGTGAAGATGTGGCTCATGTCGTCGGCGTTGTAGAAGGAGAGCTCCTCGCCCTCGTAGTCCAGGCACACGCGGACCCTGCTGAGCGCCGAGCCCGGGCCCAGCGGGGTGCGCTGGGGGGAGGTGACGGCCCAGCAGCGGCCCCCGTTGCGCTGCACGGCCCAGATGCCCTCGTCGGGCGAGAACTGCGTCAGCCCCTTCCTGCGCACCGACTCCCGCGCCACGCCGAAGGCCCAGCCGTCCGCCGGCCCCACCTCCACCTCCCAGTGGTGGCGGCCCGAGCGGAAGCCGCGCGACGCCAGCACCCGCGAGTTGGTGTCGAAGCGCTTGGGGTGGTCGGGCAGCTCCTGCTTGCGGCAGCCCATGCGCACGCTCTTCAGGTCGGCCGACAGGATCAGCAGGTGGTTGGCCGAGTCGGGGTCCAGGGTCAGGTCCTCTGTTGGATTGGGGGGGCGGCGGCGGCTCAGGGAGGGGACGGCGGGGCCCGGGGGTTGGGGAGGCTGATGGGCAGTCCCCGACCTCACAGCCACGTCCTGGCCTCGATAACCCCGTTCACAGCCTCAGTAATCACCCCCAAACCTCAATAACCCCGTTCACAGCCTCAGTAATCATCCCCAAACCTCACAGCCACGTCCTGGCCTCGATAACCCCGTCCCCGGCCTCAGTAATCACCCCCAAACCTCAATAACCCCGTTCACAGCCTCAATAATCACCCCCAAACCTCACAGCCACGTCCTGGCCTTGGTGTTCACATCCGAACCTCAATAACCCCGTCCCCGGCCTCAGTAATCACCCCCAAACCTCAATAACCCCGTTC